GAAGTGATTCCATTCCTGCATCATCTCTTTCCTAGCCAAAGAACAGTGATGTGCTAAGGTCACGCCATTAAAACTGCATCTGCAGAGCTTCACAGAAAGCCAGGACTGAATCATGCAAAGACAGGGCTCAGCGCAAAGTTAATATGTGCTTTGAAAGGCCCTCTCTTGCTAGAGCCACCTGCTCTCCTGCCTGCTGTTGTAAACACAGCTCATTGTGGAGGGGAAAGAACTGGCTCTCGGCTCACACTGAGCTCAAGCAGCATGCAAATTGCAGGTATTTCCATGTGCTGGGAACACTCCTTTCTCGAAGCCTTTCTCAGTGCCGGGGCTGGAGGGGGGGACAGCTGTCTGCCTGACAATCATTTCTCTGGGATGAGACATCCACGGACAGTTTGGTGATGACTCTGTCCATCAGGGATTCAAAACCTGTAAAGATGAGCCTGGCTATCTCAGTTGGTAACACACCTAACTCTTATTCTCAGGGTTTAGTGTTCAAGCCCTTGGTCAGCAACAGAGCTTCTCTCCTCTGATACATGCACTGGAGTCTTTTCTCCAACACATTAATTTAGCTTTCTGTGAGGAGGTAACTGACTCTGTGGACATGGGGAAGTCAGTGGATGTGAGATGCCTTGACTTTAGCAAAGCTTTTGATACGGTCTCCCACAATATTCTTGCCAGTGAATTAAGGAAGTATGGATTGGACACATGGACTGTAAGGCAGATAGAAAGCTGGCTGGACTGTTGGGCCCAATGGGTAGTGATCAACGGCTCGATGTCAGGTTGGTGGTCGGTTTCTAGCGGAGTGCCCCAAGGATCTGTTCTAGGGCTGATTTTGTTCAACATTTTTATCAATGACCGGGAGGAGGGGATGGGTTGCACCCTCAGTAGGTTTGCAGAAGACACTTAGTTAGTGGGAGAGGTAGATTCGCTGGAGGGCAGAGATAGGGTCCAGAGTGACTTAGACAAATTGGAGGATTGGGCCACAAGAAATCTGATGAGGTTCAACAAGGACAAGTGTAGAGTCCTGCACTTGGGACGGAAGAATCCCAAGTATTAGTACAGGCTGGCGACCAACCAGCTAAGTAGCAGTTCAGCAACCACTCCCTCTGCCTGGGCAAAACATCAGTCACAGATGAGTTTTTGCCAGCTGCGCAGTCAGAGCAGGGTTGCTGTAACAAATGCCAACAAAGAGGACACATACTCTAGGATTTCTGTCCCCATGAAGGGATAGTGGAGCCCTGAGCAGGGGAAGGAGAAAGAGCAGTAGCCTCTTATTTTGTGGGGATAGCTGGTGTGTGCATGTATTTTGAGGGTATGAGTGAGGGGAGCAACTGAAGGAGCTTGTGAGGAAACAGTGAAGCGAAAACTGAGGGGTATGAGAAAGGGAATGAGAAGAAACTGGAGAATCGAGAGGGTATGGTCTTACCAGTGTACAGAATGCGACTGATCATCCCAGGCATCACCATCACAAACATGGGCAGCAGCTTCAGATACCCGCACAGGATACAGCCCGCCTTCACATGGGACATGTTCTTGGCTGAGAGACATCGCTGAACGATAACCTGCCAAAGAAACAGGAGATGTGAATGACTCCCGCGTTGTCACCACTCTCAGCGCTGCGCAGACCAAGACACAAAGAGGGTGCTTTAAATAATGTTCCAGTTGAAACTGTTTGACCCTTCCCATAATTAGAAAAACAAAAGGGCACGTGAAGCCCCTAGAACAAATCTAAACAGATAAATGAAATACTTTTGTCCAGTGCATGTTTAGCCTGTGAGTCTCCCTGCCAATGTATATGATTGAACCAAATAGCTTAGAAAGATTCAAAAGGGATTAGATATTTGAATGAATAGGAATATCAGATACAGTTACTTTAGCTAGGATACAAATTATGAAGGCTTTCAATGTGACCCCCTCCCCCTGCTCACATATGATATGTGATACTGCACAATGACAGCAGTGCATTCTCCTTCTGAAGCATCCAAGTTTCATCGTTTTGTAGACAGGATGGACCACTGACCTCAGGAAACAGATGGCCCCACTGTCTCCCAGCCTGGCATGGGACAGACTGACATACACAGACCGTCTGCCCAGCTTTGTTTAAGCAGCACACGCTAAAGATACACCTAGTGCAGCTGAATGAGGAGCCAGGTCTATGCCTAGACTAAGAGTCATTTCTATTGATGTCCATGTCCCATGAAGATGCGGTGATGGAGAAAAACCAGAAGGTAATAGAAGACAGAGATATTCATAGAATCATAGGACTGGAAGGGACCTCAAGAGGTCATCGAGTCCAGCCCCCCGCCCTCAAGGCAGGACCAAGCTCCATCTATACCATCCCTGACAGATGTCTATCTAACCTGTTCTTAAATATCTCCAGAGAGGGAGATTCCACCACCTCCCTTGGCAATTTATTCCAATATTTGACCACCCTGACAGTTAGGAATTTTTTCCTAATGTCCAATCTAAACCTCCCCTGCTGCACTTTAAGCCCATTACTCCTTGTCCTGTCCTCAGAAACCAAGAGGAACGAATTTTCTCCTTCCTCCTTGTGACACCCTTTTAGATATTTGAAAACCGCTATCATGTCCCCCCTTAATCTTCTTTTTTCCAAACTAAACAAGCCCAGTTCATGAAGCCTGGCTTCATAGGTCATGTTCTCTAAACCTTTAATCATTCTTGTCGCTCTTCTCTGTATCCTTTCCAATTTCTCCACATCTTTCTTGAAATGTGGCGCCCAGAACTGGACACAGTACTCCAGCTGAGGCCTAACTAGTGCAGAGTAGAGCGGCAGAATGACTTCACGCGTTTTGCTTACAACACACCTGTTGATACAACCTAGAATCATATTTGCTTTTTTTGCAACAGCATCACACTGTTGGCTCATATTCAACTTGTGGTCCACTATGACCCGTAGATCCCTTTCCGCCATGCTCCTTCCTAGACAGTCCCTTCCCATCTTGTATGTATGGAACTGATTGTTCCTTCCTAAGTGGAGCACTTTGCATTTCTCTTTATTAAACCTCATCCTGTTTACCTCTGACCATTTCTCTAACTTGCTAAGGTCATTTTGAATTATGTCCCTATCCTCCCAAGAAGTTGCAACCCCACCCAGTTTGGTATCATCTGCAAACTTAGCCCTGGGCGGAACAAATCTCCGTTGCCATGGTAGCCAAATGGCAGTTACTGGGGATTAATGAAGACACCATGGGTCAATTAAGAACCTCCTAGAACGCAGTTGAGGCTGTTCGGTTAGCTAAGACACTTGGAGGCAATCTAGAACCTGCTAGAACCAGTTGAGACAGGTTTAATTGGGACATCTGCAGTCAGTCAAGGACCGGCTGAAACTGGATAAAAACCTCCCTTTATATCAGTTTAGGGGCATGTGTCAGGAGTCCTGTAGAGCTGCCATCAGATACCAGAAGGGAACCCTGCTGGTACAGAGATGAGGGGCAGAGCGAGCTCTTATCAGGGAACAGCCCCTTTGGCCCCAGAAATCTGGAGAAGGAAAACCCCTTGTAGTGGGGAAGAGCCTGAGATAAGAAATCTAGTCTGCTGCCTCCATGTTTGGGTTCCCGTTTTCCCCTGCTATGCCAGTTACGAGAGCAACTAGATCAGACTGAAGTAAGGGTATGTCTACACTACAGTGCTAATTCGAACTAACTTAGTTCGAATTAGTTAATTCGAACTAAGCTAATTCGAACTAACGCGTCTACAACTAAAAACTAGTTCGAATTAGCATTTTGCTAATTCGAACTAGCAAGTCCACATTGAGTGGACTCTGAACAGGGCTTAATGATGGCCGGAAGCAGTGCCGGCAGGGCATCAGAGGAGGACTTAGAGCGTGGAGATGCTGTCTCAGGCTAGCCGAGGGCTGCGTTTAAAGGGACCCGACCCCCACCCAGGACAGACAGTTCTCAGGGGTGCCCCGCTTGCAAACCAGTCCTGGCTTGGAGTGCCCGGAATACCCACACTGGGCACATCACAGCACTCGGCCATCAGACCGGCTGCACTTGCCGCAGGCTGCCATCTGGGGAGAGGGGGCAATCGGGGG